TAAGGATGAAAGTCCCCCTTGGATTAGGTGTAGGAAGTACTTGAAGATAAGTGGGACAGTATGGCCTGTAATAGGGTCTAGGTTTCGTATCAAGAGGCACTGAAGGGATTAACCTCAATGTCTTAGCAGTAAACTTGTCCTTCCTCATTTTATTCCGTATCTCATCAGTACTGGTGCTGAAGATTTCTGTGCCCTTGAAATGCAGGTCCTGGATTCTGGCACATGTTTCTTGAGGTAATGCAGTAGATCTCAGCCAGGGGTGACAGCTGAGTGAGATTGCTGTGGTGAGGCTGCAGACTGCACAGTTAGCTAAGTGCTTTGCCAAGGAGATTTGGTGTTTAGACAACTTTGATGCCTCCAAGGCTGGGAGTTTCGCAAGCTTGCACTTGTCATCTGGTGGCATCTCTAAATAGGTTGCGATGCCATCCCACAGGAGGAGTTGATAATGGGCCATTATACATTGACGATAGTTGGTCTTGAAACCAAGGGCAGAGGAAGTGTAGCCTTTTCTGTCTAACCTGTTCAGTTTACGACCCTCCTTATCAACCAAAGCAGAGTGTTGGGTGCCCTTACTCTTCCCCTGGATGGAGTTTACAACCAAGGAGTTACCTGTGGGATGTTGGAAAAGGAAACGGCATCTTTCCTGCTTAGTTCTGTACTGATTCTGAATTCACCTGGTAGATGATGAAACTGATGCTGGATGTACCCAAAGTCCAGTTGTGACTTTAAGCAACCTGTCCATTACAGGAAAGGCAACCAGGCCCGTGGTCTCCAGATGCATGACTGGATCTATCACTGCGGCACAAAGGCAGCAGCGGAGGCCAAAGGAAGCTCCACTTACTGAGCAAAAGGCAGCAGATGCTCCAAGATAGGACAGGGCACCTCAGGTTTGAAGGCACCTCCCGGTTGCAAGATGAGAATGCCACAAGGAATATGGAAGTAGCCTCTTAGACATATGGTGCTCTAGAAAAGTCTTCAGTCTAATATGAAATGGTGTAGACCTCCAGTAATGACTCTTCCATAACTGTTATGCAGAACACATTAAATGTAGTTCTAGATATGTGCTTCAATCTGCAGAAAACATTCTGGGGATCAGGATGACATGTAATCCTTCCTAGCACCAGAAAACTGAAGATGGATGGCATTCAGATGTTTTGGGCAGTGTCATGTGTGTCAGCTCCTATGGAGATTCCAATACTGAAATGGCTATTAATAAAGGAGCAGCCTGGCCTGGTGTGGGGTCGCAAAGAGTCGGACTTGACTGTGAAACTGAACAACAACGACAATAGCACCAAACCCTTCTGGTGTTTTAGAGGCTAGCCTACAGCTTTCTTTTTCTTGTTCTATAGCTCTGAAGGAGCTCAAGACTGATTCTAGGATTCTGATGACCTGAACTCTTTAGTCAGCTCCCGTGTACAGTCCAAATCCATGGTACCAGCAAGCTCCAAAGAAGGCTCTGGAGTTAACAATGGTATCAGAGAAGCTGGGACCAAGCAGAGTAGTCAGTTGGTGCTTGACATCAAGTACTGTGCTGTGGTGTTTGACATCAATAGAGCTGTTCCTCCACAAAATAGTTCTCAGCTGGATAGAATGATTATGGCAGGCCTGTTTAGTGAATTTTTGGTAATGTGGCAAATAATATTAATTGGTATTATGAACCTCTACTAAACAGACAAAAGAGTGCTAATGTCTATCTTTAGAAGGCAGTTTTATTGCTTCATTGTGGACCAGAAAAGGATGTAGAAATACATAACTGCAAAAGAGAAAGGGGGGAAAGTTTGTAAATGAAGAATAAATCAAAGAGAGCGAATAGCCCACGGTATCAACACTGAAAGTTCCAAACAATGGTACGGATGATGAAAAAGAACAGCGCCAGACAGCACAGTGCTACTTCTCTAGGCAAGCAATCTGGTGCTCCTTTTCTCAAGATGCCATAAAAGTCACTGAGAAGGTACAGAACACAAACATACGACTGTACAGAGACCTCTGAAGGCACAGTATTAGATAGGGAGGAGACAGAGTTATGGAATAACTTTCTCTAAAATTATGAAGAGCACACTTAAGTTGACATTGCCAACACTGGATAGTAATACTAAATGAATAATCTCTCTAATGACTCCCGAAGTACCATAAAAATAAGCCTTTGTGGGCCCAGAATATAGGCCGTAATATTAATTTTGAAGAGTGGGAGCAGATTTGGCGGAAAAATATAAAATTAATTAATGCTGTGTCATATAAAGAGAACATGTATAAGATGTTTTATAGATGGTATATTACACCAGATAGATTAGCTAAACAAAATAGTAACTGTTCTGATAAATGCTGGAAATGTAAAAATAAGATTGGCTCTTTTTATCACATGTGGTGGCTATGTGATGCTACAAAGAGGTATTGGAGATGGATTCATGAGATAATGGAAAAAATAACAAGAACTAATATCCCGTTTACTCCAGAGATACTGTTATTGAATATATTTCCGAAAGACTTTGATAAAGCAGATAGGTATTTGGTAGTTCATATGTCGACAGCTGCAAGGATAGTATATGCCAAATATTGGGAAACAATGGAAATACCAACGAAACAAGAGTACGTGAACAAACTATTTGAAACGGAAAAGATAACGTATGAAAACTTATTGAATGAAGATAATGAGTTAAAATCTTGGGAAATGATACAATCAATGAATATCAACCTTACAAACTGGGAAAAGATACAACTAAACTCAAGAGTTCTAAAGGACACAAAAAAATGTGTTTCTATAAAGCAAAATCAGAATTGGATAACATATGGTTAAAATCAGAGGATAAACTGATTCAAAAATTATATAATTTCCTGCTAGAAGAGGAAACAAGGGAGGAGTGGATAAAACCGTCAATGATAACTTGGACAAAAGACATAA